TCTTCACCAGTACTGTAATTCAAAGACATTGATTCTTCTTTCTTATTCATTGTCTAACTTTCACATGCATATGAAACAATGGAAAATACTATGGCTTGAGTTAGGAGCACCTTAGTCCTCTAATAAATAAACTGACATCCTTTAACTCTTTAAAGAGGTTCATGGCACAGATTTCTTTGCCCAAGGCAAATATGTCTTTTGATTTTTAAACTGCTACTAATGTGGATGTTGATTGTGGATCCAAGCAAAAATGATGGTGCACAGTAGGCATGTGGTAAAAAGGAAGTTTGGGTGGTACAAACACCTTTGCAGTCAAATAGGTTACGGTTCAGCTCCCAGACCAACCATCCTCACCTTCAGGTTCCTCGTCTTAAAATGGTGATAAACTTTGTCCTCCAAGATGTTGATGACAAATAGTAAAAACAAATGTTTAAAAAAGTAAAACCGGTAACTACTGGCATTTTTAAAAAGGTCTGATAAATGCTGGTACCTCATGGTACCTCTCTCCATCCTCATGGAGAGAGACGCTTGGTAGAGTGAGGGTAGAGTTCGAGTGCTCTGAGACCGCGCTCAGAGTGAGATGACACCAGTTGCAGGCAGCAGTGCAGTTCCTGAGAGCTTTGGAAGGAAGTCTGAGGAGAGAAGGAGGGTGGGGCCTGGTGCAGGGCACTGGGGGGGAGGTCAGCAAATCTAGCCTCTCCCTGCCCAGCATGCCTAAAGGTCACTAAAACTCTGGAGAGGAATTCCTGATTTTGTTATGGGGTCCTCTAGGAACCTAGTAACTACTTCCCCTTATCTCTTACCAGAAACTATGGGAAATGTGATGAGACTTCTGGGTATGATATGCTTAATCTTTATTTCTAGGTAGGATATGCTTGATGGTGCTCTGATATAAACCCTTAAGAGAGATGGTTGACCAGGAAGAAATAGAACTTTTGTCTTTGAAAACCCTGCTCTCAAGCTATCAGCACCCCTCTGTCTCCCAAATCCATGCACCCTGGAAAACTACCCAGCATTCATTCCTTTGGCCACATACACTCCTACCTCACAGCAGACCGTCACCCTGCCTTTCTCTACCTGTGGGTCCATATTCTCATCTTCCCCTAAGCTGCTGTACTCTAGTATCAATCATCAAGGGCCATTTCAGGCTGTGTGTTGGGGAACTTATACCTGTTACCACTCCCAGGCTTATTGCCCCTGAGCACCACGGATATTGCCCCTCCAGAAGGCTCACCCTGTCTCGAGTGGCTGGTGGACTTGGGCACTACCCCTTAAAGTATCTTGACTGGTACTTCCCATTAGTCCTGACAACTCCGAGCCAGGGATTTGTGGCTGGGCAGGAGAGGCAAGAGGAAATTAGGTCTTGTTTCAGGAACTTCGCTGACCCTTTCTGCAGAAACATCCCACTTTGGATTCCATGGAGTAGGAACGGGAGAGGGTGGCAGATAGCCAGGAGGAGGTAAAGACACACAGCTTGGGAACCATAGAACTGTTGCTTTTTAATAAACCACATCCCAACAGCCAATATTTATACATTGCTTACTATTCTTTTACTCCTTGTTCTGACTCTCTGAGACAGATAACAGTTATAATCTCATTTTTATCTCCATTTTCCAGAGAGCCCAGCAAAGTCTGAGAGCTTGAGTGAAGAATTGAGCCAAAAACACCTACCTCTTTCTTCAGTAACACTAACCAGGATCTGGTGACCAGAGTTTGCACTCCATGGGGCTCCTGAATCTATGCACTTCCTCACATAGAGGTGGACTTGGAAGTTGTTCAAAGTCCTCACTCTTGAGCACAGACAAGGGAGAAGTCACCTTCTCTGACAGCTCTGTACACAGTGATATTGTCAGGTGCCACTGAGTTCACTATGACTCATGGTGACCCTATGAACAACAGATCTGAACCTTGCTCTTACCTGCACCATCCTCACAGGCTCTGCCATGCTTCTGCTTATTGTTACAATCACTGTATCAATACATCTTGTTAAAGATTCATCCTATCTTTGAGCCTCCACCTTTCCCAGAGTTATATCTTTTTTTCCAAAGACTGGCCCCTCTTAATAACATGCTCTAAGTATGTGAGATGAAATTTCGCCGTCTTTGCTTCTAAGCATCACCTTGATTATACTTCCCCCAAGACAAATGTGTTTGTTCTTTTGGTAGTCTGTAGGATAGTCAGTACTCTTTGATATCTCCACAGTACAAAAGTGTTGATTCTTCTTCTGTCATCCTTACTTATTGTCCAATTTTCAGATTGATACAAAGCAATTGACAATACCATGGGTTGGGTAGGCACATCTAGTCTTTAAACTGACATCCTTGCTCTTTAGCATTTCGAAGAGGTCCTTGGCAGCAGCTTTTCCCAACGTGACAAATCTTTTTAAATTTCTTTACTGCTGCTACGATGAGTGTTGATTGTGGATGCAAGTAAAATGAAATAGTTAACAACTTCACTCATAATTGAACACTAATGACTGATGACCAGATAAGTTGTGCGATCATATGAAATCATTTCAAAGGCAAGAGAGAAAGAAAATACTGCTTGTCAGAAGAGATTCTAAAACTTACATTAGAACAGAGAGTGGCCAAAACAAAGGGAAGAAATGCTGAAATGAAAGAACTAAACAGAAATTTTCAAAAGGCAGCTAAAGAAGACATAGCAAAATATTATAATGAAATGTGCAAAGAACCAGTGTTTAAAAACCAAAAGGAAACAACAGGCTTGGCATTTCTCAAGCTGAAAGAACTAATGAACAAATTCAAGCCTCAAGTTGCAATACTGAAGGGTTCTGTTGGCAAAATATTGAATGATGCAGGAAGTATTGAAAGAAATAAGAAAGAATACATAGAGTCACTGTACCAAAAATAATTCATTGACATTGAATCATTTCATGAAGTAGCACAAATGATGGCTCCTTCTACATTATCACCCCTCCACCCATGTCTCTTGCTTGGTGGTGCCGTTCTGTCTTGTGTTCCTATTTTCTTACCTCTCCTGTATGATCAGCCAAATATTGGAGGGAACGGGAGGGTTCTGGTCCTGCCCTATATATAGCAGGTGCTCATCAAATGTCTGTTGAATGAACAGAGCAGGTGACATAGCCACATTTACTGCCAGCAGCAGCCAAGTGATCCGACACCTGCCATACATCCTGGGTCATGATGGAGCGTGAGACAGGCACGCCACCACCAGGAAATGAGAGTAACATGACCCAGATATATGGTTACTATAGACCAATGATTGGGGTGGACTTTGAAATATAAAGAGAATACAGTTAGAGCTGTCTGAATCTAGCAGAGGAGGCAGATGTGCAAGCCACAGAAACCATACTGATGACAAGGAAGTGCCATGAAGCAAATGTGCGTACACATGACGCAGATCAAGGACGGAAATGCCCAAAGCCTTCCCTGCCCCAGGATCTCAGCCTCTACAATGGCTTTTTCCACCTTATCTCTTTTCTCCCCAAACACTTGTAATGTGTGTTTATTGTCCCTGTACACTGCCTTCCAGGGTTTCATGTCTTACATAGAATGCCACCTAGAGGGGATTGAGGTGGGGACACCTTGGCAGCTTTGAGACTGCCGCCCAGACACTCAGTCATTCACTCTATAGTCACTGAATGCCTGTATACTGTTCTCTGTGCAAGGCTTATGGCTATATCTTGATGGACACAGTCCCAGCGCTGTGGCCCTTATGTCCTAGTCAAGGGAACCTAATGAGTAGACTGACATAGAACAGATCAAGAGTTGACAAAGCCTGTTGAGAAAGCGAAAGAAGCTGTCACCCTCCCAGGGCTCAGGAAGACTGAGGGAGACCATTTTCCTGTCTGTGGTCTGAGGAAGGTTCTACATGACCAAAGTTAGGAAGCTCAGGCACTGGGACTGGACAGAACATTTTTAGGAAATTCCATCAGTGTGTGGGGAACATAAAAAAAAAATTGATGTCCTTTAGGAGGTGGCTCAGCTGAGGTCACTTCCGCATCAAACCCTTAGCATCACTGCTGTGAGACAAGTGAGTTGAACTCCCTGAATCCTGAATCCACCCCCTGTCTTTCCGAGTGGCCCACTGACTGCAGTGCTATTGGTGGGGTCCTAGTGCTGATGATGAATGCTGTTAATTAGATTTTAAAGGCAAATGGGATCCATTGGTGCAGTTAGGCGAGGGGGTGACCTGTCCTGTTCCTGACCTTTAATTTCCACAAATCATGATTTTCATACATTTAGGGCCACACAGGTGGCATCCTCTAAGCTAGATAATTCCTTCCCAAAGTTTGTGTAAAGATGTTTCCTATCCATTTTCTCTTATGGAGACCTGGTGATGTAGTGTATAACATGTTAGTCTGCTAACTGTAAGGTCATCAGTTCAAATCTGCCAGCCATTCTCCTCTCATAAAGATTTACAGCCTCCGAGAGCTCTGGTGGCCTACTAGCAAGAAGCTGCACTGCAATCCTGAAGGCTTACAGTTTGAATCCACCAGATGCTCCAATTCAGTCAGATCCTACACAAAGAAAAATTTAAGAAAAAAGGATTTACAGCCCCAGAAACCTGACGGCGGCTAGCTATGAATTGGAGTTGGCTTAACAGCAGTGGGTTTGAATGGGTTTTGGCCCACTCTCTGGTCCCCTTCCAAACGTAGCACAGCCTCCTGCACATGTACTCTCTTTCCACAGTGAGCTCATCCCTGGAAGGCGCACACTCACTCTTGTAGTGCTTGCTGCCGTACTAAGGACTCACTGTCCGTCAAGCTCTGGGGAAAATGAGTTTGAAGTCTTTGGCCTGTCCTTACAGACAAGCTGTCAGTAGCCCCACCTTGCATGGGAAGACACTGATCCCCAGATTAAGGGACTTCCTGTGAGTGGCTTCCTCTGTGCTTCAGGCTCTTAGGACTGCTCTGCTCTCCCTCCCATCCACCGCACCTGTGCTCCGTGGGCCCTGTTTACACCCGAGCCCCCTGCGCCTGCAGAATGAGACCCTACCTGTCCATCGTGTATCCACAGATCTCTCTCAGAGCTCCTCACCACCGTCACTACTGGACCAGCTGCAGATGGGCTGTGACGGGGCTTCAGGCGGCAGCCTCAACATGGAGTGCCGAGTGTGCGGGGACAAAGCGTCAGGCTTCCACTATGGCGTTCATGCCTGTGAGGGGTGCAAGGTACAGACTGGCCCTTTGGGCCTGTGGTCCCGTGAGAGGTGGTTCCATGAGAGGTGGACAGAGGCTTTCCCCACTACATAATTAGGCCTTACAGGGACTCATTGAGGAATTCCTGCCCAGGAGGAAGCCAGGCCCTTGGGCCCATTCCAGGTCTTGGCTTTTGGGTCCTATAGAAGAGGGTTTCCCTCTTCAGAACCTGACTTGCAGGGCACCTGGCCTTGACCCATCCACTCACCTGGGCTCTCTGGGCAGCTGGCACCCCCTGGGGGTCAGGCTTGAGAAGACAGGAAACAGAATGAGGTCCATTTCGGAATTTCCGCCCTCATTTACTTTACTCTTCCTACTCAAAATTTCTCCGTGTTATCTTGAAATTTCAAAAATCTTTATGCATAATGGACCCTTTGGCAGAACCAAGTGGGCCAAGCAGGATTCTCAAGGTCTCTTTCATTCACTCTCTCTCTCTGACTTTTCTGACCTGCCGCTGACCCTCAGGGCTTCTTCCGCCGGACGATCCACATGAAGCTGGAGTATGAGAAGTGTGAGCGCAGCTGCAAGATCCAGAAGAAGAACAGGAACAAGTGCCAGTACTGCCGCTTCCAGAAATGCCTGGCTCTGGGCATGTCCCATAATGGTGCGTGGCAGCGGGCGAGGCACTTGGGTCTCTCTCATCAGGTGCCCTCCATTCGGGTTTGGGAAGCACTCAGATCCGTTAAAAAAGGGGAGTTCCTTTGGAGCAATGCCTGGCACATAGCACTATACAAGTGTAACCTGTGACTAGTGATCCAGAGACTGAGCCTTGAAGCTTAGATTAGCATTCACTGGCTACTTTCCAGACTGCCTAGTAGCTATCACAGGGAGTTCAAGAACCCAGGCCTGGGGCATTCACCCCTCTCTGTGGCTGAGACTCAACCTTTGTAACATTGAAGGGAACAGGGTTTTGACAAGTGATGTTGGGAACCATTCCAGAATCTATCTCAGAAGATCTGACATTAAATAAGGAACCCCTGCCAAGGCCAGGGATCACCTCAGCCTCTCTTGGTTGAGAGCAGGCAGGAACCAGTTACTTCCCACAGGTGTCAGCTGCCAGACCAGGAGTTTTCCTGGAGGTCAACCACTCTTTGGACACAGAGCCTTCCCTGCCTGTGCTCCAGGTCTCCAATGGACCTTTGTCTTCAGATTCCTAGGATAGGATATTGCAAAGCCCACCCGCTGCCTATTTTCCCTGGGGGCCAGACAGGTGGACAAAGGGCAAGAAAGAACCTCTTGATTAAATGTCTCTATGGGCAGATAAGCTGCTCTGCCCGCTTTTACCCATGACTGTCTAGCATCTTAAGAGGGTGGCAAGGCCTGAACCATTGCTGTATGGCTCTTCCTAGGTGATTAAGGTCTAATGTGTAGGGTTTGGTCTGCTGCCCTGGTTCCATTCTTTGAGTAGAGTCTCCTTGCTCTTTTCCTGAGAGAAGCTACACTTGTATCCCCCTCCATTACCGATGAGTACAGGTTTTTTTTATTCTTATGTGTAAATGCTTTATCTAATTATTCCTATATCCCAGTGAGTATTGATCCCATTTGTTTGGGGGGTGGGGGAAATAAAACAGCCAGAGTCATATAACTAGTAGATTGTCACCCTGGAGCTTGAACACAGGCCTTTGACATTGTGGGCTGCCTTCCCACTGCCCTGCTCTGCTGCCAACGCTGTTTGCTGGGTACTATGAATAAGACAGAGTCCCTGCTGCTCAGAGCTTACTTCTGGAAGGGTGTTCCCCACAAGAGTCACACTCTGGAATTCTGACTCTGGAGGACAAGCCCTGGGCCCAAATGTCTTGGTCTTTGGCCAGTGCAGGCTGTTGACCCAGGAGGTTGGAGGTAGGCCCTTGCCGGGCTTCATTGTGACTGTTCCCCATCCCCTTGCAGCCATCCGCTTTGGCAGGATGCCGGAGGCCGAGAAGAGGAAGCTGGTGGCCGGACTGACCAGTGAGGGGAGCCGACACAATCCACAGGTGGCTGACCTGAAGGCTTTCTCCAAGCACATCTACAATGCCTACCTGAAAAACTTCAACATGACCAAAAAGAAGGCTCGTGGCATCCTCACGGGCAAGGCCAGCCACACGGCGGTGAGTGTCGTACACAGCTCGACAGCACCTGGACTCTGGGCCCTGCTGCCTCCTGCTTCCCTCTTGGGAGAACCCCCAACTTCAGGCCTCCTCCCTCCTTTAACTTCCTAATGCAGGCAGAGGGTGTTGGGAGCACATGGGGTAGGGGGGGTCTCCAAGGCCTGACTTCTAACAGAGCCTGGGTTTTCAGCCCTTTGTGATCCACGATATCGAGACATTGTGGCAGGCAGAGAAGGGCCTGGTGTGGAAGCAGCTGGTCAACAGCCTGCCGCCCTACAAGGAGATCAGCGTACACGTCTTCTACCGCTGCCAGTGCACCACCGTGGAGACCGTGCGTGAGCTCACCGAGTTCGCCAAGAGCATCCCCAGCTTCGGCAACCTCTTCCTCAACGACCAGGTGACACTCCTCAAGTACGGTGTGCACGAGGCCATCTTCGCCATGCTGGCCTCCATCATCAACAAGGACGGGCTGCTGGTGGCCAATGGCAGTGGTTTCGTCACCCGTGAATTCCTGCGCAGCCTCCGAAAGCCCTTCAGTGACATCATTGAGCCCAAGTTTGAGTTCGCTGTCAAGTTCAATGCCCTGGAACTGGACGACAGTGATCTGGCTCTGTTCATTGCCGCCATCATCCTGTGTGGAGGTGAGTGAGGACGGAACAGGTGAGCAACCAGCCCTTCTGCTGGCTGGACCCTCACTTCACTGCAGGGTGCCAGTCCTGAGCCTGGACTGCAGAGTTGGGGAAATGTCCAAATGCTGATCCCAAAACCAAACCCATCCTCATAGATTCTGACACTAGTGGACTAGTGACCATCAGGTTTCCAAGCTCAGGGAAGCAGACCATCCCATCTGACCTCCATGAAATGCCTGGTGCATTCAAACCAAATACCTTTCAGTTAGCATATGAGCACTTAATCACTGGGCCACCAGAACTCCCCCGTCTGCTGATGGCAGTGGAAAATTCAGAGAGCTAACTGTGCATGAAGCATCAGCTTAATCTTACCTTTATAGATGTAAGTAGAAAAATGAGTAGAAAGAAATAATACAAATGTGGTATCGTGGTGCTGAAGAATTTTCCTGTATTTATTCGCATATTTTAAAAATTTGGTAAAATCAATTAATATAACCTTGAAAAGCAACAGTGGCATAGGACGTCATGCTGTTACTGTTTTCATAGGTTATAGGACTCATTTGACCCTCAGGACAACTCTGTAGGAGGTACCTTTATTGTCCCCACTTTACAGATGCTCATTGCTGTCGAGTAAGAACTAACTCACTGCTGACCCTCCGTCAGGTTTTCAGAGGCTATAAATCGCACGGGAAGAGATTGCCTATTTTTCTCCCACGGAGCAACTGGTGAATTCTAACCGCCTGCCATTGGATTGGCAGGGCAACTCCTTACCATTAAGCCACCAGAGCTCCCAATTTTACAGATGAGGAAACTGAAACCCAGAGAGGGCCAGTGACCCTGCCCATGACCTCATAGCTAAAATGTGGTTGAGATGGGATTTTAATCCAGGTAGCGGGTCCCTTAGCTATAAGACAAGGGACTCGAGCGCTCGGTGGGAAAGCCGCTGTGTTCCTCAGAATGAGCCACGCATGCCAGGTGGGAATGAGAGTGCGCTCTGCCCTTGGAAGCACTTTTCTGCCCACCTACTCCCACATCTCCCCTCTATGTCCCCACAGACCGGCCAGGCCTCATGAACGTGCCGCAGGTCGAGGCCATCCAGGACACCATCCTTCGTGCGCTCGAGTTCCACCTGCAGGCCAACCACCCAGACGCCCAGTACCTCTTCCCCAAGCTGCTGCAGAAGATGGCTGACCTGCGGCAGCTGGTCACCGAGCACGCCCAGATGATGCAGTGCATCAAAAAGACAGAGACTGAGACCTTGCTGCACCCCCTGCTCCAGGAGATCTACAAGGACATGTACTGACACCCTGGGCGTCCAGGGGCAGCGGACAGTGTGGGAGAGGTGCAGAGGCCAGAGACTTTCCGTTGACCAGCTCCAAGCACTCAGCACAGACCTGACGAGACCAGTGGCTCTCGCTCGTGGTCTCACACACAGAGCCTCTCGCTCTTGGACTCTCACTCTCTGTCTCACACTCTCATTTCCTTGCCATTCTGTCTTGGCCCTCTCCTCCTTCCTCAGTTCCTTTTTTGCTCCCTCTCTTTCTCTTTTCCTCCCTCCCTCTCTGTAGGTTACCTTCTTCCTTCCTCACCTGCCCTCCACTCTGTCTCCTCACTCCCGTGTCTACCCCTTTTTCTCTTTCGGGAATACAGTTCATTTTCTTTCACCAGCACCATAGAACAGAGCCTCTGCTTCTGCCCCGTACACCCCAGGAGGAGAGGCCTGGGCCCGCCCTCCACCTCATCAGTGTGCCTGCAGGGTTGGGGTCTCATCCGGCTCCTGGGTTCAGAGCATGAGGCTGGAGCGAGCCAAAGAAACACTAAGCAGCCTGGGCCTGGCTTCCTGGGGACATTGAACGTGGCCTGATCTGGCTGCATGGAAGCCTGTCATCAGCACTGTGAAGGACATTGGGCAGGGAAGCGTGGGTTGAGCCAGGATGCCATCCTGGCCTGTCGCCACCCTCCACAGCTGAGGCTGGCAGGCAGCCCCTTGTCCAGCTACTCCACTTCTGCCGTGCACCCAGCCTATGACTCCCACCATCCTTTCCGTTTTTCCTACTGCTCTTCCCGGCCAGTGCCTCGATGTCCCACTTCACTGGCCACTGGGGACACCCCAGCCTGGAAGGAGATGGTCCTCCTTTCAGATGGGGTCTCCTCAGTGCCCCTATTGAAGAGGCACAGGCCTAAGGGAGGAGGCAGAGGCTGATTGGAGGGGAGAGAGAGGGAACAATGTACTTCGTTCTGACCCAGAACTCAAGTCAGAGAGCCAGGGAGGGTATGGGACAGGCCCTCCATCAACACCCACGCTCTCCTCTGCTCTGGAGGAGCCATGAGCCCTCCTGCATTGCGTCAGCACCACAACTCACATTCACTCTCTGGGTGGGGGCCTGGCCTCAAAGTACCAGCAGTGGCTCCAGCTGAGCCAAAGCTCTTGCCCCCATCTCCCTCAACACACACCTTAGAGCTGCCACTCGAGCACACATCACAAGCACTGAAATCACTTTACCTGCAGCTTTGGTGCCCTTCACCCCTCCCCTCCCCGAGGAGGTAAGAGCCCAGAGGCCTGCAGGTAGACGGGCAGAGCTGTGTCCTATTGTCAAGGCTGGGCCACAACTCTGGGCAGATGGGCTGAGTCAGCCCAGCAGCTGCTCACAGGGGATAAACTGGTCCTGCTTATTCTCATGGCAACTTGTCCTGGCAGATCTGCTGTTCCCCACCCCCTTGAATCTCTCCGGGCCTTCTCTCTAGTGACCTGGGCCTCTCCCAGTTCCACTCATCTGAGCCTGTCCCTGCCTGCTCCTCCCATCACACCCCAGGTGAAAGTACACTCACTTCGTGGGGGCCGAGCGCATAGCCCCTTGAGGTGGGGCAGCAAGCCTGTTATGGCTACTTTTGCCAGGGAAATGTTGGTCTGGGAGTGAGAGGGTGTCAGTTCCCAGAGTGAATTGGTAGAAGAGCTAGGGTGAGTTCCTGGGGTCCTAGTCCTTGTCTGGTCCTGGTCCTTGTCTGGCCCTGCTTCCCCTGGGGCTTTTTGCCTTGATTGCACTCTGGGAATGCCCGAGGGATAGGACAAGCCCCAGCGCCTGCTCCTGCTCCTGCCAGCACTGTGGACTTCTGGGCCCCAGGATCGTTCTCTGCCGGCCAGATTTCTTCCTCTCCCCCATGCCCCAGCCTCGCTGAACAGGGATTCTGCTCAGGGGGTCCCTTTCTGTGAAGGGAGAGATGCTGTGCCTGACCTGAGCCCCGCCATGCACTGCACCCCCACCGAGGTCTGGTGCTGAGGACGCAGCTCTTCTCAGTGTCTGAACAATCTCCAAAATGGAAATGTATATTTTTGCTAGGAGCCGCAGCTTCCTGTGTTTTTAATATAAATAGTGTATACAAACTGACGGAAATTTAAATAAATGGGAATTAAATATTTAAGAGTTGACTTTAAGCTGACTCAGATCGTTTGCATGTTTTCCATGGGAGCGGATGGGTTCCTTCATATCCTATGCATAGAAGGGGAGCATTGCTGGGCAAAGGAAACTTCAGGGTGCTGGCCAGGGAGGGTCAGTTCTGTCTTACGGGAGCTGCCTATCCTCCCTGCCACTTGTCGGTCTGCAAGAGGTGGTTAGGGATTCCACAGGAGTGCCAAGAAGATACCTCACTACCCTGCAGTGAGAGCTGGTGTGTGATGGGAAAGTCTACATGCTCTCTGAAAAGGAGGACATGCATTGGGGTGGGAGTGTGAAGAGGGTGGGGTTTGTGAGAGGATGGGAGTAGCAGAAGGCCCTGACGAGGCGACTCACCCCGGGCTGTGAATGACACAGGATGACCACCAACAACACCTCATCATCCATCGTCAGTTTTTATCACACGCACACCCTTCAAGAGATTGGGGGTTTCCTCTCCTTCACCCAACACTGCATGAAAAAGTGTGACTCACATAGGAAAGCCACAAAAGAAATAGACTAGTAGTCACCAGCCCCAGAGAAGAAACTGAATGCGTGTCAGTGCAGGGCCACGTGGGGTTGTACCTGGGGACAAGGCAACAGCAAGCTGGAACTGTGGGGCAGGACTTGGGCATGACACACAGAGTGAGGGAGTGGAGTCAGTTTCTGCTCAAGTCATTGGTCATTTAAATCTTCCAGTGCAAGGGGAAAGGAAGGATTTTTGTCCTAGGAACCCATAGGGGCATGGCTAGGAGGGCCAAGCAGAAACTAAAGCACTACAGCAATTGAGAAGTGGTAAGCGGGCTCCTATCACAGGAAGCCAGGGTTGGAAGGGCCAGCTAAAGACCACAACTGTTGTAAGGCTGTGTAACAAAATAGGACTGGCCATGTCAGAAAACAGGCAGGTAGGAGGAATTCATGGGTGCGGGGGCAGGTAAACTGTAGACCCCATATTGGCCTTTTGACAGCGCTTTTCTCCTTTAATTTTAGTGGTACCATCCCCATAGACACTTCTGGAGAACCCAGCCCACTCCAGCTAGGGGCTGCAGTATGAGACGAATTCCAAGTAAATGTCAGTCAGTGTTTGTCTAGTCAGGGAAACAGGCACACAAATATTTTTAGATGGGGGAGAAATAATGCAACACCTGAAAGATCAAACATGAGATCATCCAGAGATTAGTGTCGAGAGGAAGCCATTCCCAAATCCCAGAACTGGGTGGAAGTCGGTATCACTCAGAGGCTGTAGTTGCAAAGACCCTGCAGGAACCAGAAACCCAAGTTGCTCATTAATTTGACGAATGAGCTTCATGGCTGTGGTGGGTCCACCTGCTTCAGGTACTCCAGCAGCCCTTACCCACTTAGGACCTCAAAAGTTGAGCAAGAAGGCAGGGGGGCCAAACTCAGTTACTCCTGCCAGGAGGACCACCAGAGTTCAGAGGTGGGAGTGGAAGGGAAGTGTGTCCCTTTTTCTTGTCCTCCATCCTCTTATTGTTACTTCCCCCTGGGGGGAAAAAATCTAACTAGACACCACCATGTAAGGAAGTCTAGGTAGCATAGTTTGCGAGCTTCCAGCCCTCCTCTAGAGAGGCACATGAAAGAGTCAGAATGGATCCAAGAGCTGACAGGCAAGCAAGCACAAAATACAAACACCAGCCGCTAAGATGAGGGCTCCCAGGCAGCTTAATTTAAGGTGATAGGCAACTATCACCTCAACTACTTTCATTGATCAGCTGGGCCTCTGATCTTAACTCTGTCAGGTCTCCTGGGGTTCACTTCAGGACCGTTACACCATGGGAATCAGAGAAGTAGAAAAATGTGAAATAGGGGCAGCTGTAAAATTGATCGCTCATGAAGTGAGCTCTGTGGCCCAACAGGAAGGAGTTACACTGTGAACCCAAAGGCAGGTGGTTCAAATCCACCAGCTGCTCGATGGGTCAAACATGGGCAATCTCTTCTCAATTTGCAGCCCCTGCAAACTTGCTGGAGGGTCAGCGATGTATGAGTCTTTTCTGACTTGAAGGCAAACGAACAACAACTTGTTCTGTATTTCTGGTTTTTATTTTTCTCACCTCCCTAACTTTTCAGGTGGGAGAAAAGGGGCCCAGGATTTAATTGTTAAAATCCAGTTCTTGTTCTAGTACTGAAAAAATAAGAACGTAGGATACCCAATAATTAGATTTAACTTGGCCCAATAAATTGAGCTCAATCTCAATACCATTTCCCTATTGTTAACCTGGCTTCTAGTGCTGCAAAGGGATAAAATCTTGTCCCTCTGGTACCCTGTTATTACTATCACTAATTGCTATTCTACTGTAACCACCCTTGTGTGCCAAGCATTGTAGATATCACTGGTAATCCTCACCACTCACAGTAAGGTAAGTATTACCACTTGCCATTTTACACATGAAGTGTAACGAGAGATCATAGGGAGTGTGCTCAAGGTCACATGGCTAAGAGGCAGAGCCAGTAAGTATTCAAGTCAGGACCTTTGAATCTCTGCATTTCACCCTTGAACAGGACCACAGGGACCAGTCTTCATCTCCTAGCCTCTTTTAAATGATCCTTATGACAAATGAAGACTTCAACAGGGAGAAGGGAAAAAAATTGAAAAGCTGGAAGATCTATCTTTGCAAAGATTCTACAACTCTAAAATTGTTCTAAAATTTTAGAAGTGTATAAAAAAGAAATTAGGTCCCTGTTCTGATCAGAAACACAATAAATGGATTCTGATAGAATGAGAGCAAAATCTGGACCAGAATGAAAATTTTTTTT